AGTATTCTGTTATGATTCTTTTAATTTCAGTTGGGTCTGTTGTGATATCACCCATCTCATTTGTTATACGGGTTATCTGCTTCCTCTCCTGTTTTTCTTATGTAAGTTTGGCCAGTGGTTTACCAATTTTTGTTGATCTTTTCCAAGAACCAGCTTTTGGACTTGTTAACTCTTTCGATTGTTTTTCTATTCTCTATTTCATTTAATTCTGCTCTCCATTGGCTAGTCTTAACATGACTGATTGAACCCTGCCTTTCCTCTTTACTGAGATCAACTGACATCAGGTTACTTACTGCTGGCCTGGCTGTTAATGATTTGGCCCTCCACTCACCTGCAGCCAGGAGGCTTTCTGAGATTTAAATTAGTAGGTAATGCTTTGACAACTGTTCGTTTCTAGCAGGATAAGACAGTTACAGTGCTATAGAGCATTTTCTGACAGGCTTTTGCAGTTAGGGTTAGGCTCTTTATGGTTAATAATTTTGTGGATAAGAAAAACATTAAAATCAAAGTAAGATGTCTGTTATTAATTTTCCTCTTCAATACCAGGTACTAGGACTTTAAAAATGACATTTTAAATGTTAGTAAATAGCATTTTTTACTTAAATTTTTGTAAATTATATCTTTCCCAAGTGAGCAACTAATGCAGAATAATTCAAATGCTGATCATATAATACACAATTTGAGCCTGAGTAAGATAAGATGAAAGAAACAACCTTTCGTTGAAGTCTGTGCATTTGTCTTGGGTTTTAGCATATTTTTATCTTCAACCAGAGGTTTAAAAATGGTCATATTACAAACAAGAAAGAATTCTTATTAGTAAGGCCAGTATCCAACAAAACCATGTGTTGTTTTAGACTGTATGCAACATTAGAGACATCGTTTAATTCTCATTAAAGAATCCTTTTTTCTTTCTTTTTTTTTCTTCAAAATACACACATCCAACAGACATACCGGAAAAAGCCAGTGAAGACAGTTGTGGAAGAGCTACCCGCAGGGAAAGAAGTTAAAAACGGTTTTTCCAAAGCCTACTTCACCTCAACTAATGGCGTGATGAGCAAGAAAGCACAATAAAAATAGAGTAACAGGAAAGCATATATAATAGCCTAACAGATTCGCTTGTTTTAAAGCAAAGACTGAATTGAAAGTTATATACGTTTTAGCGTAAGCTAATTTCTTTTGAGTTTGTAAAGCATTTGTACCCAGAATGTATTACTATATTGCTATTAGGTTAATATGTTAACTAAATGCTTGGGACAGCATTGAGATGATGCTGAACTCTGTAGACCTCATAACTGGTGCAGGACCTCTCTCCCTCCCTCCCTTCCCGCACATCCTCGCCCCCCACCCGAAATTTTCTTTACAACGCCTTATACGCATACAAAGCCAGTAACACTGAGCGTTCCCCACCCACAACAAGTCTCCAAATAAAAAGAGTTTTGTTCAGATAAAAATGTTTACACTGAATTGTTAATTATCTTCTAAATACAGGGTATATTGTAGTCTATATTAAGCAATAATTGCCAGTGGATACAGTAATCCATCCATCTGTTCCTTTAGGAGTCAACCCCAGAAGATATTAAAATGGGTTCATAAACGGAAGACAGAAAAATCTAGCAAAACTCAGTCTCTTCAGCCAGAGTCTGTCAAATTCTCACAACCACCCCTGATTCTAAACTTAGTGACGTGGTGATGAAATGTTTATTTTTTATTTTGAAGATTTGTTTTTCTAAAAAGAAAACATCCTCTGCCAAATCCTCATAATTCAGGGGTTTTGGATAGGAATAATGCCTCAGTTTTAATGTGGTTTCCTCATTTAGTCACACTTTCACGTCTACCTCCCATGTTAGTCAGCCTAGGTTGGTTTGAAGACAGTGTGCTTCGTACTAAAAGCAGGATCTATGTCGTCTGCTGCCTCTTTCCTTTCTGAACAAGGACTGGTCTGCCCCTTTCCTTAGAATGAATATGCAACTGGAATATTTATAAATCAGAATTAACAGCAGTGGGGGCAAAATCAACATTGAATTTGTCAACTATTTCTTGCAAACCTACTTCTTATGAGTATTATCCCAAATACCTGCTACAGCTCTTTGCAGGTTATTTAAGTTTTTGAAAATAGGAAGAAACAAGGTGGAAGACTGGGAAAATTTCACGCTGAGCCATGGGCCACAATGACAAGTGCCAACCTGGCAAGGGCAGCACATCCTTTCCCGGCTCAGGTGTTGGCTGTCTGTACTGAGAATCGAGCAGTGAATATTCCCTCCCTCCCTGAGCGCTGGACTGTTATTTATGTTAAACTGTATTAAGAATGGAAACATTTTCTGAAGATTTGTTGAATATTAACTTATACCCGATGAGACTTGCCAACTTCAACACTTGATCTTCTTTCCTACCTACTTTTTCAAATAAATGTTTAGGTCATAGCGCAGACATCAAACATATAAGCATCAGAAATGCGTGACCCATTGTCACAACACACTGCAGTCTATTCGAGATGCCTTTCTGTCCCTTTCTTGCCATCTTTCTGAGATGTTGTTTTAAAATTATTTTCCCTGCAAAAAAAGGATTGTACTGACTTCCAACTTTTGATTCATGGAAACTACCCTTCTCAGAATTCTGGCTGACTTTTGGGAAGGTGACTAACTCTCATTATGGTTTCCAGGGTGAACGAGCTGTAATATCCCCTTCTGCACAGTTTGCCCACTTCTACTGAACAGACAGCTTCCTGTCTAAGGCACACTGACTCTCGGTTTCTTCTTTAAACAGTTTCCTAAAACTGACTGGCTGTAGGGTGCCTGATGCTTCATCCCCGCTGCCGTCTCGCGTCACTCACTAACTGCAGTCGGTATACTGTTCTCTCCCAGCAGTTCATTTTAAAACAAGGGCTAGCTTCAAGGACGGTTGTCTTTGCTCCTGTATGGCAAATCACAGACTGGACTATGGAGAAAGCCCCTTGGAAAAACCTAGACTCTACTTCCGTCTTATGTCTCAAGCGTGGGCTAAAGTCCATCACCAAAGTGCATTCCAGGTAAAAACAAGACTTAGAGGAGACAGACATCGCTGGTCATTCATTGTATTCACGTTATTGTTGACTGGCATGAGGCCGTCAGGTCCCACCGTTCAGCCTTGTACCTGCAATGTCAGGTACTTCTATGCGCTTCATATCTGTTTAGCAAGGAGCAAAGGTCGTCCTTCAGCAGATGACAAAGTCAGGCAGCTGTAAGTCAAGGCGGCTTGAAACCTCTTGGATCAAAGTGAAAAACTTGGGTAGTTTCCTCCTTCAAGTTCATGCCAGAGGTTTAGTTAGAGGTTTCAGAAGCTTATTTCCAATTTGGTCTTTAATTCTAGAGAAGCTTAATTAAAAACTTACAACTTTAAACCATTAAAGGGCCGGTAAAAATACACACACACAGCTTTGAAATCTTAGCCATAAAAATTGAATCGGGTAATATTTTATCCTGTCATTAAGTGTTGCAACTTTAAAAGAACAGAAGTGTTTCATTTTAATGTAATTTTCCTAAAACAGAACTGTAAAAAATTACAAATCTGTATAATACGTTCAAAGAAAAAAAAATGGAAAATATTTCCCCCATATTTCCTCTTATTCATGGGATTGAAAACACTTAAATGAATACTATAAGTGTGACCATTAATAATTTCCCCAGTTTTTTAAATTAACAGCTTAAAATGGAGTGTTTACTGAATCAAACAATTTTTCAACCCATCAAAATTATATATTGAACTGTTCAGGCGTATTACAGTATAAAGTCCTCTCCACCACCATCAAAGAGCTATTCATTTTTATTTAAGGCAACATGGAATTTACTGTGATGGGCAGGACAGCATTTCGTGTGTCAGAGATCATTCTAGTTCTTTTCAATATTACCATATTTTATGAACACTTCTGGAGGCTTATTTGGAAAATAAGGATATCGGGTTTTTGTTTTTGCTCTCCTTTGAAAGTACTTGTATCTTAAGAACATAGTGTCATGACTGGGATGGACAGGGAGGTAGGAGAAGCCATTTTTCTTCATAGATAAAAGCATTCTGTATGATTGTTGTATAATAAATTGATTTTTACACTAAAATAAAAGCATGTTGTGATTTTCCTTATTTCATTTCAAGAAGTTAAAACGTGTGCCTGCGTGGTATTCCAAATGACACCTCTCAGGCTTTTTTAACAATAAAGAGATATTTTAGCGATTAATTTTAGATGTTTAATTTTTCATTCCTTTCAGTCAGCAGTGGGCTTCCGTGTCACCTTGTTATCTTTACATGGTATTCACATACCAAGGTAAACTATTTCAGAAAATGGTCATTCACAAAACAAAATTTAAGACCAAAAATTTAGATACGCAGAAGGTACAAAGGTTAGTCATGAAAAACAAACTGCTGTATAGAATACACTAGATTTGTTTGGGGAGAAAATAATAGGCAGAATCAACACTGTGCAGGCCCATGCCCTCCCACAGCGCCTAGAAAGGCAGAGAGGAAGCTGTTTCAGCTCAGCAGTGGGGCTGGGGAGGTGTGAGTGAATGACTTGGCGATGGTGTAGTCTGAGAGACACGTAAGCTTGTGGGGCAGATCACAGATTAGAATCGTGTCAGTGGAGACAGTCGAGTTTTTAATGTGATGTTAAGCATGGCAAGACAGGTTCAAAACAGTGACAAAAGATGTGCTCAAAGTCTGACTGAATTTGCTTAGATTCCTGGGTAGTAACGGGTGGAGCATGATAAGGAAGGGCAGGAGGGGAAGAGAGACTAGCAGAGGGAATGGGACATGGCCATGAAGGGGGAAATAAATTCTAACAATCTGAACAGAGCTAGAGTTTGAGGCAGGTGGACATTTTAACTAAAGAGCCCCAGTGGTACAGAGGTTACGTGCTTGGCTGCTAACCAAAAGGTGGCAGTTCGACTCACCAGCTGCTCCTAAGGAGAAAGATGTGGCAGCCAACTTCCGTAAAAGATTTACAGCCTTGGAAACCCTAAGGGGCAGTTCTACTCTGTCCTGTAGGGTGGCTATGAGTCAGAATCGACTCGATGGCAATGGGTTTGGACATTTTAAAGAGCCTCCTCTTAATGGGATTTCATTATTTCAAACAGTGGGTGGAACCAATTCATTAAAACTCGGGGTTTAAACCAAAGATAAATCCTATGTCTCCATAACCCATTACCGAGTAGATTGCGACTCACAGAGGCCTAATAACTGTTGTTGCAACTTAAAAGAGCTGCTTATACATGATAAATGTTCACTTAAATAAGTCTCTTAGTTCTTTTACATAAAGAAAAAATCCAATGTGTGTTTTTATTACAGTAGGCTTTCCTACAAATCAAATCACCTGCATGTGTTAAAAGAAGGGTTCTAGGACAGGGCATGCAAGGAAATAATCACTCATACAAAACCAGAGTCACCCAAATATTCCTTGACCTCCAGGAAAACATGACTTTTAGTTGCGGGGGGGAAAAGAGCTATAGCCATTGATGTGTAGTTTTGCTCTTAAGAAACTGTGCTGAGGGAACCTTGAATAACCAAGAGGATAAGTAAATCTGTAATTCACACCCTCACTGGACAATCTGTAAATGAAGTCATTACAGATCTTACGAGCAACGCCCCTGGGAGCCCATCATAAAGTTATCTGCGGTCAAGTCACACTTGGCAGACTGGATGCAGCAAAGCTCCTCCCATGTCATCTATGATCGGGAGCACCACAGTCTGTAACTACTTAAATGCCTTTGGGGGCAGATGCTCTTGGATTTGCCACAATTACCACCACTCACCCTGTTATATTTGGCCTATTAACTCCTACATGTTAGCCTAGCTGGCCTCCGAGGCATTTGAATTTGTGACTCCGAAGCACTAAACATCAAAAGGAAAAATTCTGCAGTTTCGCCTGGGATGCTTTCATATGAATAGGGGAAAATGAACTTAACATTGTCTGCTGTGGCCAAGTAACAAATGAGGAGTCCTTGTGGCTCAGTGGTTAAGCATCCGGCTGCTAACTAAAAGGTCGGTGGTTTGAACCCACCAGCTGATCATGGGAGAAAGATGTTGGGGTCTGCTTCTGTAAGATGTAC